ATCTACTCCCTTGTCATGTTTCTAAAAACCCTCATCACCCATGGGACACAGTTTTGTGATATATAATGGACACTATGTTGACTAGAACAGGACAGGTCAAAGAGAAACATCTGTACAGCCAATATTTGTGAAAGTGTGAAACTATTTCTCTTGAAGCCAGGAGGCGCCAAACCTTGACCCTCAATGTCGTCAAGATGTGAAATCTGAAACTGATCCAGGGAATGAAAAGTGGGTTGACTGTAAAAGCACAGAGCATTTGGAATAGGAGTACATTCTCTGGCACACATAATCCACAACGTCAACTGAGCTGCCCAGGATTTTCTATCATAATGACATCCAAGATTAGACCATTGTTCACAAATATTGATTGGACTCAGAAATTACAAATATGAATTCCTACTTTAAGTATTTCTACCACGCCTGTTTGCGAGGGCTTTTCCTCTATTATTGGCTTTAATTTAACAGTTCAACTCAGGACCAAACTGTCACGTTTGAGGGATATTTTATATTTTATTCTACCTAAAATAAATCACTATTTCTGTGTTTGAAAGCAGAGAATGAACGAACAGTTTAAGACTTCTTGGTGAATCTGAGCTGATAACAACCCAGACAACAGCCAGACATTACTTCTGTGGAAACTTTAAAAGGCATTTACAGAAAGAAAATACCTTTTACTGCTGATGCTTATGACCTTACCTGACCCTGAATGGCTGGCAACAAAGACAGGTATTCAATTCTCAGTGCCTGTGTTAAACATTTACAGTCTTTTTAAAGTACATTTACAGTAGGAGATAGTGACTGATAGCATTTTAGTTTTATCTTTATTTTTTGTCAGGGTGCCAATCCAAAAGTTGAAGTCAGTTTTTTTGCAATAAAAATGTTGGCTCTCCATCAGGGAGAAATGTCCAATTACATTACACACACATCATAGCCAGCAGATGGCAGGACACTCATTAGGGTAAATGTCTTCCTTTATATGTGTTTCTAAAATAATGGCATCTGTGTGTCCATACTTGAGCCCTGCAGTAGAGGCCGCCAGAGAAGCATATTCAGTCTTCAAACTTTAGCATGTCAGATCCAGTGTTATATTACAGCAGTGGGAGGTGGGGGATTTCTCCAGCAAAACACAACAGCAATACAAATGTGAAGTTCTGGTCTGGAGAGAGAGAAAGTACCATAACAGATCTACATGAAGATATTACATATTTAATAATGTGAATGTCAACAGGGATGAGCTTAGGTCTGCCAGTACAACAGATACACTGCATACACATAAATGTTTTGTATGTTATTATAGAAAAACATTCCTCTCATATTCTACGTTTTAGATACATGTAGGGAGTATTGGGTGGCTGTAGGAATAATGAACATAGAAACTACCCTCATTATTTGACTAGAATTACAGCACCATGGTGGAAAACTGTTTGCCCAAATTAAGATCTAATGCAGTTAATATAGTTTCACTGATCCATATACCATATAAAAGTTAACTTAAAAAATGCATTTAAGTCAGTTTGCTTGTTAGAAATGTTGATCATATAGACAAAAGAGCATGATGGAACATATTTTAACATTTTCATTCAGTCTCAAGTGAAAATTAATAAACTGACAATGTTTATAGTTCAACCATTGTTTGACAACCGCTAAAAATGTGAGAGACAGATTTCCTGTTCCCATGGTGATAAAGATGGTTATGTAGTGATCTCCACATGAAGACAATACTATTTTTAACTCACAAATCTTTTATCTATTAATACATCTCTCAAAGATTTTTAACACACATTGAACATTGGCCATTAGTGTTGCATACACAACTATTTTTTTAGTTTGACTGGAAAATTCTGAATTATAGATTTATCAGCGAATGGAAAAAGAATTATGTGCAAAGCACTGTTGCAGTGATTTGATACAAATGAGAAAATAATTGAGATCTGTGAAGATGAGAGAAGAAAACTTTAAGTGGGCGGCATTATAATAAACTCAGAGACAAGAGAAGTGAAATACAATTGTTTTAATTGCAAAAGGATACCGGTTAATACATTGAATGAAGCACTGAAACAAGCCACTGTGACATTGCAAAATACCACTAAAAGGGACACTGTAAATTTCCAAGAAAGAAAAGTCATTC